GGGGTTTTTTTTCCCCTCGGGGTAGCGTCTAAAAAGGAGGGTTTTTTTGGGGGCTCAAAAGGAATTTTTTTTGGAGGGGGAAGGCAGGCAGGGGGCAATGAAATCACATGCGTTTTTCTTCAAGGCCGCCATTACTTTTTCCTTTTATTTTACAGTCAAAAATTTTTTAGTGTATTTGAACTCCTTTTTAAAAGTGAGTCCTGGGAATTTTGTATTTTTTTTAGGAGCATGGTAGGGTTTTTTAAGGGGCAGGTCGTCATTTTGAAAAATAACTGTGTGAAATAACCTACCTGGTTAACAAAAAACGAATAAATAAGTGTTGGTGAAAACAGCTGGGGATTGGGGGGGAAAAGGACAATGTCGTTTTTGTTGTTGTCGCTTTATTTCCGGTAAAAGGGCAAAAAGAAAAAAGGGTGACATCTTCTATTTAAAATTCTTTTTAATTTAAATTTAGTTTTTTTTTCCCCTCCCCCCAAATTGTTTAGAAGTTCAAGAAAGCCATTTTGCTAAAAAATACTTCTCAAAAAATGAAAAAAATCACCTACGTTGGTGTGCGTTTAGACTTTTTGCACCATACGAAAGGGGTGGCTGTCAAGACGCCCCAAAAAAAAAAAAACCAGATTTAGGGGAGAAAGGGAAAAAAGGGGAAAGAGGCAACAAAGGTTTTCCAAGGGGTGTCTGCTCAATGAGCCTGGGAAACTGAGTGCCCCCTTTTTTCCCCAAAAAATAAGAAAAGCATTTCGCTAAACCCCCCAAACATTTCGCTACCCCGCAAACCTGCAAATTGGTATGTGACCAATCAAATTGATTTTATTTGACAAGCGTCTCTAGGGGTACTTGATTTGAATGAGAGAAAAATGAAAACCTCTTCCCCTTTCCTCTTCCCCCCTCCCTCCCCCTTCCTTCCCTTTCCCCCCCCCCTCTGTTCCCCCCCCCCCCCTCCCCCTTTTTCTTCTTTTTCCCCCCCCAATTTTCCCCCTCCCCCCTTCCCCCCCAATTTTTGATGGGATATACTGTTTTTTGTTTAAATTTCCCGATGTGTACGTGTTAGCGGTGTGTTATATTATATTCCTGTGGTTTTTATTGTTTGGGTAAAAAAGGCCAAGTAACCCGTTAGGGATAAAAAGGCCATTAAATATGTGAGTGGACTAAAAAAACACAGTAATGAATTGCCTCTAAAAGAAAGGGGGTAATTTTCTATCCCCTTTGGGGAGGGAAAAGGGGGTGGAGTCAAAATTGGTACACAGGGGGGTTTGGGGGTTTTCACTCGCGGTAGAGGCTCTAGGGTTATTCCAGGTTAACGGGTTTCTACTAGGTTATACTGGGGGACTACTGGGGTTTTACTGGGTTTTAGGGACTACTGGGTTACACTAGGGACTACTGGGGTTCTACTGGGGGTTTCTATGGGTTTTCTACTAGGTTACATGGGTTACTGATCTTTTAAATTTGGGGCCCCCTTGTACCAGGGTCACTGTACCTTTTGTTTGTCCGAGGGGAGGGAAACTACAGTAGAAGAGCTTTTCCCAATCCCCCAAAAAAGTCAGTATTTAGTTTTAATACTGCCCTCTCATTCCCCGCTTTTTGTGGTCTGGCCCCGCCGCCCAAATCAGCTTTTAAATTTTTTGCTTTAAAAAAAAAAAACAGAAAAAAACCCTATTGATTTTTCCGGGGGTGTAAGGGATCAGTGTGCAGGAAGGAAGGAATGGGGGTTTTGTTTATGAAATAGTAGTATTATAATCTGCAGGGGGCAGCAGTCCACTTTATTAGTGGTGGACTAACAAATAGGGAATAGACCCACACACATTGGTAAAGTACACACACCACAACATTGGTGGGTTGCCCAATTTTAAGGTGAGCAGGGTAAGCATGGTTTGAAAGCAAGGGGTTTTAACTATGGAGGGGCTTTTAAAAACAAGGCCCAAAAAGCC